CCCCCCCCCCCCCCCCCCCAGTATAGACCAGGCCTAAGTGATTAACAATAATAGAACATATGCATAGCATAGTTAGTATACACTAATCATAAAGCACTCTAGGAGCTTTCAGGATGAAAGCCATTGTTACCAAGGTAAGTTAATTTGGGGATGATTATTCTAATATGCATCATGCATACTTCTGAGTCAGTCCGGGCACGTTTTCATACTGTCCATGCCAGACACATTCATTGCTGTCCCTTTTCTGTAGGCCTTTTCACGGTTGCATGTTTTGACCAGCTATATAAAACCACAAGTCAAAAAGCAGTCCCATTCCCCTGTTTTTCCTTGTTTTGCTCCTCTAGCATTTTTTTTTGGGGGGGTGGGGGGGGCAGAGTAATCTTTTCTCATAATGATTTACTGATCAAACACAACTCCCTCTGAGGTCACAGCCAAAGCAGATACCTTTAGGGCCGTGCAGCGGGCACCGGGCTCCACCAAACAGCAAAAAGTATTGGCTTCCACCTTTACAAACTTGGATGGGCTCCTCCAGCTGTCGCCTGGTAAGAGCAAAGATCTGAGTCCATTTCTCAGCCCGTCCTGGAACCCTGACTGATCCACACACGAATTCTGGCACTGGGTATTTTTTCCGCCTCCTCCCCTAAATGTTGTGGATTGCATAAGAGGCTAGTTTGAGTTTCGTCGTCTTATTTTAATTAGCGTCCATCACAAAAGCAGAGGGAGAGAGAGAGAGGAAATGCTGCAGTTTATATGTTTTGATATTTGCCACACTTCTCCAAAATACAGCATTCAACTGTGTGCCTTAGGATACATATAAATTCATTTTTTATCTAATTTGTCTGAGATCTAAGCTTCCTGTGGAGGTCTGAGATCAAAGGATCTGATTCCGTCTGATGTCGGCTCTGACACATAATGTGTGCTGACTTAGTTCTGTCTATAAACTCGCAGTGGGAGGCTGCCATATTCCCTTGGCACCTTTACATAGTGAACTTTCATTTCGGCTGGGGAGGCTGACAGGAACAGTGTTGATTGGAGCCATCGTGTAAATAATTCATGGAGAGATTTTTGTCAGAAAAAGGAAATCCAGCCACTTACAGTCTTTTAGGAATTGTTGCAAGACAAAGAGATTCCCCGATATGTTCAAATCTAAACAAGGATAACAATATCTTAAGCGAATTTAATGTGTGTGACTTGAAATGCCTAATGTTTGATTTCCCCTTATTTAAAATAATGTTGGTTTTGGAGCGAGAGACAATCAAAGCTACAGTCATTTTTGTTTAGTTTCTCCCTTCCATTTTTTTCCCTGTGAAGAAATCCCATATTTCTAATCCAATGAGATGTTTGGGATCTTTATTATTATTTCTGTGATCATGAATACGACTTAGATTACAACATCTTCTGGGTAGAGACCATCCCTTTGTTATATATTTGTACAGGGCCCAACACAATGGTACTGGGGCCTTAGGCAGTGCGACAATACTGTTGATGATGGTGGGTACACCAATAGATTCTAGGCCAAAGGGGACCAGTAGATCATCTGGTCTGACCTCCTGTATAACACAGGCCATTAAATTTCACCTAGTTATTAAATTAATGGAGATATCCTATCTCCTAGAACTGGAAGGGACCTTGAAAGGTCATTGAGTCCAGCCCCCTGCCTTCACTAGCAGGACCAAGTACCGATTTTGCCGCAGATCCCTAAGTGGCCCCTTCAAGGATTGAACTCACAACCCTGGGTTTAGGAGGCCAATGCTCAAACCACTGAGCTATCCCTCCCCCTAATTACACCTGTATTGTGCCCAATAACTCATGCTTGACCAAAGCACAATTTCCCAAAAGCCATCCAGTCTGGACCTGAAGACATCCAGAGATGTCTTCTCTCACTGCTAAAAAATTATGCCTTATTTCTAATTTAAATTTGTCTTGTTTCAGCTTCCAGACAGTGACTCTTTATTTACCTTTCTCTGCTAGATTGAAGAGCCCTTTAGTGCCCAATATTTCTCCCCATGAAGTTACCTATGAACAGCAATCAAAGTCACCTTTCAGTGTTCTTTTTGAGAAGTTAAACAGACTCAGTTCTTTTGAGTCTCTCACTGGAAGGCATTTTTCCAGCCCTTGAATCATTTTTATGGCTCTTTTCTGCACCCTCTCCAATTTTTCAACATGTTTTTTAAGGTGTGCACCAGAGCGGCATGCAGTATTCCACTGTCCAATTCAGCAATGCCAAATACAGCAGTAAAATCAGCTCCCTGCTCCTATTCACTACTCCACTGTTTATACATCCAAGGATTTCATTAGCCGCTTTGCCACACTATTGCACTGGAAGCTAGGTCCACTATGATCCCTAAATCCCTTTCAGAGTCACTTTTTTCAAGGATACACTCCTCTGGTCTAAGTATGGTCTCCATTCCTTGTTCCTAGGTATAACTTTGCATTTGTCTGTATTAAAAGAAAATGCATTGTCTGAACGATTTCCCCTTCCAAGCGATTCAGCTCACTCTGTGTGACTGCCCTATCCTTGTGATTATGTACCACTCCCCCAATCTTTGTGTCACCCACAAATTTTATCAGCACCGATTTTAAATTTATTCCCATTTATTGATGAAAGTGTTGAACAGTGTTAGCCCTAGTACCAATCCCTGCAGAACCCCACTAGAAACACCCCGTTTGATGGCGATTCCCTGTTGGCAACTATATTTGGAGATCTGTCAGTTCACCAGTTCTTAATCAATTTATCAGGTGCTTTAGTGATAGGTTATAGTGCTCATTTTTTAATCAGAATGTTGTGCGGTACTAAATCTTACAAAAAGTCTAAGTCAGATTCCATCTGCGCAGTTACCTTTATGAACCAAACTTGTAATGCCCTCAAAAAATGAGATCGGGTTTGCTTGAGAAGACCTGTTTGCCATAAAAGAGAGAAGGACATCACCAGTCTGAAAAGAACTTGATATAAATCAAATACAGCATAAGGACTTAGCTATATTAAAAGATCATGCACCAGTGTCACCACTACATCAGTATGGACCCCTAATGTTTTCTCTCTATACCAGGTCTTATACTTGTCTATTTGTGTACTTATATGGCTTCCTTCATTGTAAATAGATTTCATCCTCACGACAGCTCTGGGAAATGGGGAAGCGCCATTATCCCTATCTTCCCGATAGGCACAGGGTAGATTAAGTAACTTGCCCAAGGTCACACAGCAGGTCTATGGCCAAGCCGGAACTAGAATACCCGAGTCCCTGACCAATGCCCTCTATACTACTGTGGCTTAATTTGCTTTGTGTCAGTGTAGCACATCTTCATTTGGGGTCTGTGCCAGGGTAACTGCACCAATCAGAGCACATTTTCCTAACATGGGTGGGACCTACATTAGAGTCCAAGGGGCCCTAAATGCATATGCTGTAGGTCGGTTGTTTTGCTAAGGATATATCATGCTGGTTAAAGTGCATCACAGTCCGACCTCCTGTATATTAGTCTTGCCTTGAGTGCAAGGGACTGGACTAGATGACCTTTCGAGGTCCCTTCCAGTTCTATGATTCTATATTGCAGGTCATTAAATTTCACCCAGATACCCCTATATGGAACCCAACAACTTTAGTTAGAAAAAGTGTTTCAGTCCTCAGGAACCTAAATCGTTGTGTGCCACAGGCAAAGCCCAGGAGAGTCCGAGGTGCCACCACGCCCGATGCCCATGCAATGGCAGGGTGGGATATGCCCAGATGACCCCAGCAGACAATCCTTGCCTCATGCTACAGAGGAAGGCAAAGAAGTCCCCAAGGTCCCTGCCAGATAACTGTAGATAGTAGGGAGGGGCACAATTGGAAGCTTTTGTGGGGACACGTGACCGCCCCATGTGTTGCCTCTGCCATTTGTGAATGGCAACTTAATATAAAATGTGAGAAAAACAACTGTTGTCATATGAATAATTTGTGTTAAGTGTGGAGATATTTATTTGCTGGTATGTTTTATATCAATATATTTTTAGAACTTGCTTATAAGGGGTTAATAAATGACTAATAGATATTCAATAGATGTTTAAAGATTGTTAAAGAGCAATGGCTCTCAAACTTTTTTACCGGTGACCCCTTTCACATAGCAAGCCTCTGAGTGCGACCCCCCCCTTATAAACTAAAAACACTTTTTAATATATTTAACACCATTATAAATGCTGGAGGCAAAGCAGGATTTGGGGTGGAGGTTGACAGCTCACGACCCCCCATGTAATAACCTTGTGACCCCCTAAGGGATCCCGACCCCCAGTTTGAGAACCCTGTTATAGAGTCTACTAATTAAAGTGCAATTTCCCTTTAACAGTCGTTTTCCAGTGACCACCACACTTCAGTTAGCAAAAGGCTCTAGAATGGAGCAGAGACATAAACAGGAAGGGAAGAAAAAGACAGAGACCTACTGGTAAGGTAAAGAATAAAGGGATTTTCTCTTGCAGATATGGAAGCAAATGGAGTACCAGGAAACACCGCGAGACAGATAAAGGAGTTGCATCAACAGACGGTTAAAGCCATGTCAATGCGGAAGATAAGTACTGTTGAACATAAAAGGAAGAGTAGAGAGAACTTATGCATGACTAGGAAACATGACAGCAGCCGTCCATTACATGGAAGAACAGCTCTGTGGGGTTCTCTGGAACTTCAGCAGCATGGCGCCAAGGAGTTCTGTGACTGGAAGGATACCCATCAGCAGCTGTTTGCTTGCACCCGTGGAAAAGAGATGGGAGGAGGGGAACCTGTGCCCCAGAATGTGAACAGAGAGAGGCAGGAGACTGCTGTGGGATCTTGAGGAGATGTGTAAGGGAAAGGATGAGCTGTGGCACCATCAACATGAAACATTTTCGGGGAGGGAATCCATTGGAACATGGGAACTTGAGATGCTTCTTCCACTAGTGTGGTCAGAAAAAACATGTTAGCACTGGACACTTGCAAACATTTTAGGACAGTTAACAGTGAAGACATGTTCTTAGTGTTTAAAGCAGTACATCTTATCTGTCTATCGTTTGTTATCCTGCTCTCCTTAGTCCCTGATTTAGCAAAGTACTTAAATCCATCCCTATTCAGAAAAGCAGGTGCATATGTACCACTTCATTGTGGCTCAAGCATATGCTTCAGTACTTTCCTGAATAGAGATGGATTTAAGCAATGGCTTAAAACTCAGAAGCTGCTCTGCTGAATTGGGGGCTTACCCTGTGAACCCCTCAGGACTGCAGCCTTCCCTTCTTGAATGTTTGGAAATGCCTACCACATCATGGCCACTGCCATTATTGTTAATAATAATAATGAACTGGGAGGCTGGTCTGATTCATAGATTCTAAGCCTTGTGATCATCTAGTCCAGGGATCGGCAACCTTTGGCACACGGCCCATCAGGGAAATCTGTTGGCGGGCCGGGACGGTTTGTTTACCTGCAGAATCCGCAGGTTCGGCCGATCGCAGCTCCCACTGGTCGCGGTTCACCATTCCAGGCCAATGGGGGCGGCGGGAAGCGGCGGCCAGCACATCCCTCAGCCTACGCCGCTTCCCAGAGCCCCCATTGGCTGGGGACGGCGAACCACGGCCAGTGGGAGCTGCAATCGGCCGAACCTGCAGACGCTGCAGGTAAAGAAACCGGCCCGGCCCGGCAGCGGGTTTTCCTGAAGGGCCGCGTGCCAAAGGATGCCGATCCCTGTTCTATCATCCCCTGCAAAGGACATAGTAAAACCCCTAGGACTAAAGGGTTCAGGACTGTTAGAGGGCTTTCCCTCCACCCTCCCACTTCCCTGGTTCTTGTCAGGCAGACAGCAAGCAACAAAAGACCAGAAAGCCGAAGTGCAGACAATGCAATGTTTATTGGGGTTAATTTCCAGCAAGCATGATTCCAATTTTCCCACCCACTTCCTGTTTAACCCCAGTTTATATAGTAATATTCTCAGCTATTCCTTAACTAATCATTTTACTGAAATTTAACTAGCCAATCCTAACATATTGTAACATAATTCTCTAACCAATTATATCCCACGATCCTAATTAACTTACACCTAGAAAAATTAATTATACAGCAGACAGAAACAATTAGAAAACCAGACAGATTAAAAATAGAAAAGTGGGGGCCGTAAAGATAAAACAATATAGAAATGAGGGTTTCACAACCACAACCACTGATAAGTGATTTCTTGCCAGGCAGATTTCTTGCTATTAAACTAAGTTTTCTTTAACCACTTTCTTATCTGGTGGTGATGGGTACTATCAGGACAGGATCGTCTTCCTAACAGCCCGGTACCACCTTATTTCCATGTGACTGGTTTGGAATGTGAGGACGTGACCGTACGCTTCCCAGTTTATGGCTGGTCCTGCTGCTTAGCCTAAGAACAAGGCCTCAGACTATCCTAGTGAGAGAAGGCTCATACAGAGGCAGACTTGTGATTTTAATTCTTTATTTTATACCTCTATAACTATCTTTGTGATAAAAATACACCTACATTCTTAAAGTATAGGCTTTTACAGGCAGGCCTGCATATCTATATTCTAACAAGGACTCTGCGGGGGGCTTGGGATTCTCAACTCTTTGCTAGGGTCACTGGACTCCTGGTCTATCAGATGCTATTGGCCTGGAAGGGGAGAAACTATAAATGACCTGTCGGCAGGAGTTATAAGAAGACGCCACTCAGAACATGGTCAAATGACTGTTGGTGGAGTGTGTGTGTGTGCGGGGGGAAACTGAGGCAGAGATGCTGTTACACCTTTCACAGCCATGAGAGGGTGCTGGCTAGCAGAGATCTCCCCAGATGGATTCCCTGTCTGCTCGGCCATGCAGGCCCTCACATTGTATTATTTTAAGTAGGTGAGACTAGAAAAGGCTTAAAAGTGCCCAGGTTGCTACTGGACTTTGATGGCCACTAGCCATAAAGGAAATTGAAGCACCTGAACTAGAAAGAAAGAAATTAATGGAGATATCCTATCTCCTAGAACTGGAAGGGACCTTGAAAGGTCATCGAGTCCAGCCCCTGCCTTCACTAGCAGGACCAAGTACTGATTTTTGCCCGAGATTCCGAAGTGGCCCCCTTAAGGATTGAACTCACAACCCTGGGTTTAGGAGGCCAATGCTCAAACCCCTGACCTAGCCCTCAGAAGCAGGTACTAACTCTGTCCAGGCTCATTCCAGGTCATCTAGGATTCTAGAGCTGGGCCCTATTTTTATAGGAAGGCCCATACGTGGTCCTGGCTCTCCTGTATGTCTCCTCTGAAAGAAGGCATTTACAGCAGCACCAGGGCCTCCTTATGTTCATGTTGGGATGCTGGTCCAGGATTGGGTCAGAGAACAGTCGGTCACATGTAGACTCACCCACACTCGCTCCTGTACCACCCCAGGCTCATAGTTTCATCGGGACAGATGCTCAGGTGGTGTGAACCAGGGTAGCTCCATTAATGAGGCAGATCCTTACCTGACTTAAACGGAGCAGTGCAGATTCCCACCAGCTAAGGTCAGGCCCATGGATTTGAAGGCCAGAAGGGACCATCCTTTCTGCCTCCTGCATCACACAGATTGTAGAATTTTACCCAAATCCTGCAGTGGCCAGAATTATTCTCCCTTACTATGTAAATGAACAGGATGGGACCCAGTGACCTGGGGGGCTGAACAAGAGGCTAGCACTTGGAAAGACATTCAGACAAAATTCAATGATTTGGACACCATTGCCTTCCCCTCATCCAACACAGCCTATTACAGATGCCTTGACGTGGTGGAAGAAGCATTCTGCATATTATAAATATACTTCTCCCTTCCCCCCATCCTTAAGTAACTCTACTCCTAAGTGTCTAAATCACATCTGAACAGCGCAGGTGCAAAAAGTATGTAATTACAAATGTCAGAATGTATGCAAATAATATGCAAAAGTAGTATCTGAATACTGAATATAAATAGTATGCAGAACTTGAACAGCACAACCTTCTATCTGAAAAATTGTACATATCAGTAACACTTAAGGGTTTTAATTAATCCCTTAATTCAAAATTCTTGTATTTATTCCATATTTTGTTTAACAGAATATATAATGTCTTGCATGTCTAGATCTTTAAGGGCTGTAATGAGCAGGGATAAAAACATAGTTAAGCACAGAGTTGTTGTTCTTAATTTCCAGCAGTGCTATGGGTTAGCTCAAGTGACTGACATTGCCCATTAAGCTTGTGTGATAGCAAAAGGAGATGGTGAGTTACAAACAGGAAGCAAACCCTGGATAAAGAGGAAGGCCTGGAGGGGGGTAATTACTTGGTTTTAGGAAAGAAGGTACCATAAGGTGATCAGAGAGAGGGAAGAAGTGACAACAGGTGTTCATGAGCCTGAATTAAGTTTGCTGTAACTGTAACACCAACAGACCCTGGTTGTCGGGATGAAAGAGAACCAGGAAAGGACAAGGTCACAGCAGCCAAAAGAAAAGGTAGTCTCAAGAAAAGCACCAGCCATGGTGTCAAAGGCATCATGGAGAATGAGAATAGAGGGAGAACCTTAGGCTTGGAAGGAAGAGGAAACATAATTAGAGACTTCTGGGAGGGCAGTCTTGGTGGAGCGGAGAGGACAGATGCCAGATTGCAGAAGATGCAGGAGTGAGTCGGAGGAGGCAAGACCAAAGCACTGAGGAGAAACAAGCCCACTCATGAAGCCTGGGGAGGAGGAAGATGTGGGCAGAGGGAGAGAGAAGCGGAGAGGAGGAAAGTTTTCCTTAGAGTGGGAAAGCAAAAGCCAGCCTGACCAGAGAAGAGAGCTGGGAGGTGGTTATGTTGCACAAGTTGAGGTGTTGGGTCTGGAGGGGATGGGTCAAGTTGAAGGACGATTCTGAAGTGAGGTTCAAGTAGCTAAGGCTCCTGGCCCAACTGCAGGGAATTCTGTTATCAGAGCCTATGGCCTGCTCTCTACTAGGACTTTCCCTCTCTTGCAGCCCTAGTGTAGACAAGGTGCCAGCAGGGTTTTAGGCTCTTTTGGAAATTTAAGCTTAAGAGAGCAAGACACCCCCTGCCCTTGAATTTGAATGGGAGTTGGGCAGTTAATTCCTTTGACAATCCCAGCCTTAAGCACTGCAGCCTGCTCTGAGCAGGGTTGGAAGACATGGGTTGAAATCCTGGCTCCATTGAAGTCAATAGCAAAATGCCCATGGGTTTCAGTGGGGCCAGGATCTCACCCATGCAAAATAAAAATATCTGCAGCTACCTGGAGCCCTGTGGCCACTAGCACTTGAACGCTCACATGGTTGCAACCGACAAGGTAGCTGAACTGGTGTGTTAGTTTAGCCCACAATGCCTGGCCTGTGAGAATCCCTAGATGCTGCTGTGAGCAAGTTTTCTTTTGTGGCAATGGGTTTTCCCTTCTCCTCTAACTTCTGAGGCAGAGAGGGAGCTGTGTGCCAGACAAATTAGCCTACGGCTTTGGGCCAGAGTTGATGAGACTTCACCAAGATACAGGCACAGACTCGTGGAGAGAGAAAAAAAAAAAGAAGAGAGAGAGAGAGCCTGTGAAAAATTAAAATGACAAGGCTGGTTAGGGAGTGGAGATAACTGGGATGTAGTGAAATTAATTGCAGTCTGGGTTGAAAGAATCGTGTTCCTAAAACAAAATTTCAACTTCCCCTTCTCCTAACAGCATCAGTGAGATTATAAACCCGTTCATTGCCCTTTTGTGTTACAAATACAACTATTTGTTATGATTATTATTTCTACAGCGCCAGAGGTATGCATGGCATTTTACAGGCTTGTAGTCAAAGACCCTGATCCTGCAAAGACTCATTGGGTAGTTCCGTTGGGTGTAAAATGGAGCACATCCCTAAATCCTCACTGGATTGGGGCTTAAATGAGATGTGACACTTCTAGTACGTCTACACTGCAAGTGAAGGGGTGATTGTACTATGGGTTGGCCTACCCACATGAGCTTTAATCTAGCTAGCGTGGGTAGCAACAGCAGTGTAGACACAGCAGTACAGGCTAGCAACCAGAGTATGTACCCAGGCTTCCCGATGGTTTTGGATTCCGGCATGGGATTCAGCATGGGCTAGCTACCCAAGGTCAAGCCCTCAGGGGAGCCTGGGTATGTACTCTGGTTGCTAGTCCATTAATGCTACCACAAGTATACCTACCCGTGCTACAATCACACTTTCACACGCAGAGGAGAGGTACCCTTCAGGTGGCATGAGGGATATTCAGTGCCAGTGTAAACATATTCCCAAAACAAAACAAAGAGGCTGAACAGTTTTGGAAAATGAAATGTTTCTGGTTTTTAGTTTGTGGTTTGTTATCTCCCCCCCCCTCCCCACCCCCCGCTCCTTTTTTCATCTTGCCACTGGGAGAAAAAGGAGCAAAAAAACAACAACAATAAATGGGAGGGGGGAACCGAAATGGAAAATATTTGTTTTCTGTTTTGAAAA